AAATAAATAAAGTAATAACCAGAGTTCAACAATCAGACTTTCTTAATTTACTCCAGCCCGGGTTTGTTTGCATTTATGTCAATGGATGAATTGTTCCTTGCCACATGGCACATGGTTCCCATTAAGTTTGTCTTGATCCAGATGTTTTCCATTTCTCCCACTAAATCTTGAGTTTTGAAATTACAGAGGCAGGTTGAAATTGGTAAAGAAAGTCTGTTACCTGTGTGTTTATGGCAGTGTTTAAGGCTTATTTTTGGGAATCCTTGGCCCCGTTCACACCTCCTTACATCCTGTTTCCAAAGACGGAAACAGAATCACAGTTGACCTTACCAACAGAGCGTCGGGGTGGGTGGTGTTTTCCCCTCACACAGATGAAATTGCTACCATGTGCTTTTGATGTCCACACAGTGAAGTGAAGCTGACAGTGGCCTCCTTCCTGTCTGATCGGATTGTGGACGAGATTCTGGATGCGCTCTCACACTGCCATCATAAACTGGTGAGTGCCATGGACATCTTGAGTGGGGCTTCCGTTGTCATCTGCCATGATGCAGGGCAGGCTCCAGTTTGGGGATATGGCTTCCTTTCTACGTTTTACTCCTTCGCAGCCCTGTGGGCCAAGACCCTACCTTTGCTCCTACGTTTCTTCCAGACATTCTAGAGCATGCTAGAATTTCTCCAGAAGGCATGGCAGGGAGAGAAGCAGAAGTGATGGTATCCAGAAATTTCATCCGCTTATAATGCAGGTCAAGGGTTTTGTTAGGAAATAATGCGGAGACTGGGATCTAAAGATATTTTAGATTATTTCATCTTTGTGTGCTTATTTTGTTGGTCTCTGATATGATAATTTGAGAATGGAATATTCTTGAAGACATGAGGCCGGGGAAATGAAATGTTTGGAGACCAAAGAAAGGCAAGAGTGAAATGGACACATTCTAGGGATTGATAGCCGCTGAGCGTCCAGCCAGGCCTCTTGGATATAACTGAGGTAAAGAAATCAATTTTCTTTATCTGGAGACTGGTTTTACCAAGGTAGAAGACTTTACTTCCAATATCGGTGCGTATAAAAAATACATCAGCACCTTCAGGTGTTTTGAACTTCAGGAAGTCCTCTGAGGCACAGATGAAGGTTTTGTTACTGTTATATCTTGTGTCTCAAACATAATAGCAACGTGATGCGGTGCGGATCTCTGAAGTGAGTTCTGACATTTCCCCAGTGAAGTGTTTCAGGTTAACTGTGCAGGCTGGAGATACCCAGTCTTAGGGCACTGAATTGTTGGTGACACCAGAGAACACCACAGGAACGGCAACGGTAGCCGCTGCTTCTCCGCAAGGCAGACGACGTGAATATTTTGAAAAACTCATTTCAGAAAAAGGCATAAGGCTGTCCTCTAAAAATGGAAGGTAGAACAGACATCTCCAGCGGTGATGTGGACTAGAGCTGGCCCACCAACCAATGGGCACCAGTCCCTGACGAGGTTCAACCACGAGGAAACATGGAGAAACTTCTAGAGCAATTTGAAATGGCCATAATACGAAACATGTTATTTTTCCAATGTGTTATTGTTTTTTAATTTTCTTTTAATGTTTATTTATTTTTGAGAGA